CGCTAAGCAAAAGCCCGGGTCACACTTGGATATTTCATGGTGAACAATAACGGAAGCGGTGGCGTCCATTCCCGCACCGCCATCTTCATCTGAAACAGTGACGCCCAACACGCCGAGGTCCCCAAGTTCTCGCATAAGTTCCGTATTAAACCGCATCTCAATATCATTTTGCCTCGCCTGTGGCTCAATCCGTTCAGCCGCAAACTTTGCGATCGTATTCCGCAGCATCTTGTGCTCCGGCGTTGGATTAAAAAGAAAGTCCATAGAGGAGTTAGCAGAAGAAGCAAAGGGACGAGCAGCGATAGCTCCATTAGGCACGCCGCCAAGCCGTGGAAGCAGAACGCGTCGCCCGAGAAACATTTTTGCTTCCACTCGGTCTGTTTTTTTTTTTTTTTTGTCGTTCCTTCGCTCTGCTTGTTGAGATTCTTTTATCCGTGAACGGATAAAGAGACTGCGGCTGTGTGCGGTCTACACGATTAATGCAGACAAACAAACAAAAAAAAAAAAAAAGGATAACATCGAAATAAATAAATAAAAAAAAAAAAAAAATTAAAAATACCAGCGAGATCAACCGACAGTTTCAATGCGTTATTTATATCTCCCATCTTGTTATTACTGTAGTTTTTGTTCTCTTTTTTATTCTTTTCCAACCGCAATATCGCTTAATAAACGTGCACTCCTTTCCTCAGCTCCATTTTGACTGCTGTGTGGCAATGCAGGCACACAATTATAATAAATAAAAAAGTGTTCCCCGTCAGTCACACGATGGAGAGCTGTACGCGTAGCTCATGAATGTGACAGCGTCCTGCAGTACACCTCCCTTCCCAAACACGTCCGCATGCTGCACCTTGAGCAACTCGCGTTCCGCCGCGGTGAGTTTGTCGCGATCTACAGTGGCCATTAAAAGCCTCACTTGTGAAAGAAGATACGGAACTGATTGAGAATTCGTTAGTTTTTTACCGCCATCTGGGCACACGGTGGTCAGCGCACGCAAAATCTCCTCCGAATACCGCCCACGCATCCCCATCACCGCCACGCACTGCTCCAAGGGGGATAAAAGAGGAAGCGGAGCCTTTGATTCAGGCCGAATACGTTTCTCCACTCCCTTTACGAAGCTGGCGGCCCTCAGCATCCCCAGTGTGGGACATATGGTGGACACGCGAAACTCGTAGTCAAAGCAGTGACCGAGCACAATCGATTTCATAGCCCACATGGCGCCTTTTAACAGATCAACTCCAGTCTCCACAGACTGCTTTGACAGGGATGAGTCCCCTCGTATCGTGGCCTGCTTGATCTTTGACTGACGCACCTTGTGATGTATAGAATCCTTCACACTCATAACACTGCGAAGAAACTCAACATCCACGTTAAAGTCTTCGCCACGTATTATCGATCTTCTGAAGTATCCACCATTAAGACGAAGCTCGCGGTATCGGCGCCAAAGAAAGATACTGCGTCCAGCAACGCCCTGGTACCAGTCACCACCGCTAAGCAGCATAAGAAACACAAAGTCTATGCGGTATGAGGGTAAAAACTCAAGCGGTAGAAGTCCGTTTGCTGCACCCTTTCTCCAGTGCTCAAAAAGCTCAGCAATAGCAGTGACACAGTAACCAACGGGATCTACCATGTAGTATTGACGGTACGGTGTACATGCGATACCAATCAACGCCAGGTCTGAGTCATTGCTCACGACGACAATCACGTCATCTCCGGTGTATGTTTCTGTTCGTTTCTGCTCAATCCAAAGCGTTCGAATCATGGACGATATTTTTAGCTCTCCCTCTCCTGCATCCTCACAGCCACTTATAATGACCGCATATTCACCCAAAAATGTTCCTGGCAGACGGTCAGAATCATCCCCATCACTCGACATGAGTGCCCTCCTCAAGGCATCTTCACACGCCAGAAGAAACTCCGAACCCGAGACAACCTCTTCCCGAAAGAGACGTATCGGCGTTCCCTCATAGTCGTAATTGTATTTTAACTGCGTCGCCGAAGAAGGGGGTTTCAGTGCATTTTGAGGTGCCCTCATGGTGGCACGCCGTTCTTTTTGTAATTTGAGCTTCGCCGTTGGCGCCGCGCCGTCAAAAACAATGACAAGCGTCTTCTTTGGTGGAAACAGGCGCAAAAGACGCTTCACGGATAACAGAACATCCTGGATGGTTTGCATGGACAAAAAATGGGGTCCTTCAATGGCCCCGTGTACGATGCCATTCATGTCAAGCAGCAGGTGGTCAGGCGTAATAATGGAGGTGTCACCCGTTACACTAGGAGGAGCCGAGCAAAGACCATGTTTATTCAGATAGTTCCATAGTCCCTGTGTCCCCATGTTCTCATCCCGAAAATGTGACAACGATATATTAAAGATGGAAAAAATATATATGTAAAAGGTCCAAAAAGCGCCCCCTTCTACACTGGGCCGTACACCGGCGACAACTATTAATGCTCAGAAACAGGGGAACGGGCAGATAAAAAGAAAAACTAACAAGAACAAAAAAGAAGGCATTGCACAACAACAAAAAGAAAAGGAATAAGTTGGCCTCCAACAGCCATTCCAGCGCACACACAGAAAAAAAAAAAAAAAAGACCGATCATTAGATTTACCACCACCTCCCTACGTCGATGCACACAAATACACACGCATTGGATGAATACAAAGAACTGTGTAAATTTTTTTTCATCGCACGGCTCATGCCCACAAACGCCTTTTTTTTACAAATAAAAAAAAAAAAAATAAATAAATAAATAGATGTAATTCAATTAATAAAAGGAAATAAAAAAAATAAAAAAAAAAAACAGACCCGACCCCTACCTCCATAAAAAAACAGTTCACCGAATACTAAATGTAAAAAAAAAAAATCCGCGAAAAAAAAATTTATAGTAATAATTCGCTGACAAATATTGATCGAGAATCATGTCCCTTTGTTTCTCTCCCACTCTCTCTCTCTCGTTGCATGTGCCAACGCTCAAAGTTTCTCTACCCAAGAGTTGTAGCCTTCACCTGGATCGCTTTCTCGGCACAACTCAAAGACCTCCTTCTCCCTTTGCTCCAGCACCAAAAAAAATGGAATACTGGCAAGATTAAGAAGAGGGTGCTTTCGGTAGGCATAATCGGAGTTCCCAAGGTATACCGAACGCTCAACATTGCACTGAACGTACACAACACGACGCTTTTGTTTGGCCGCCTCCACTGCGCGTCTCACAATTGGCTCCGCAGCCGCACACGGCGGACACCACGACTGGTGCGTCCTGCGGTCAGAGGCACCCTTGAACAGAAGCACAAGTATATCACCGGGCGTCAGCTGCGCCCTAACTTTATCCAGTGTGGCGTCAAAGTCTCGAGGGGATTTCACCAACACATTGTCCTCCGTGTTGGTAGGTCCAAAAATGGTCTCTGTCGGTGGATGAGAGACGTAAAATTTGTGGTCTTCATGTGCCGCACGCGCCTCCGCGGCAGCTTCGACACTGAGTTCACCATTGCGAGGAATTGGTTGAAATACGGCAGATTTGCGGAACAGGCGCAACAGCTTAACCGGAGAGGAGTCAGCAGCAGGGACAAGACGATGGTAGAGGCCACGCGGAAGAACGACCAGATCACCTGATTTGGCCTCAACACGAATCCACCGTTCCTCTGCGTCACGGAAGTCGATGTACAGCACTCCACTTTCCACAATACGCATTTGTTCATCCAAGTTAAGATGTTCCTGCAATTCTTCTTGGTAGTCGGCAGTAAGTGTCACCTCCTCCTGCCCCTGGTAGCCCAAATTCCACGCGAGACGTTGTGCCCGGGTCCGTCCCTCGTCATCGGATGGATGACGCTCATGCAGTGTCGCGGGGTCCACCATGCGAGAGTAGACACCATACGCCTCCAGCAGATTTATCGGCACCGAGACATCTGGTGAGCAGTGACTTGGCAATTTAAAGTTGCCCTCTTGTGAATTCAGAAGCCAAGCTCCAGGCATCGGCGTACCTCCTTTGCTTTTTTTTTTTTTTTTTTGGAGTTGTTCAACCAAATAAGGAGTTTTAACCCTTTTTGTGTGTTTTATTATTGTTTTTTCCTCTCTCTCTCTCTCTCTCTATAAATATAACCGCAGTTTGCAGCAACACAAACAAACAACTCGAAGGAAAAGAAGGAACAAAAAAAAATTCATAGAGACCGCCAGTAAAAAATCACAAAAATATTCCACAGACCCAACTCCATCCCACAGAGGCAGGCGCAGCAACTTTGCATGCAGTGAAGTATGGTGGTAAGAGAAAGAGTGAAAAACGAATGGAAAAACAGATAAAAACTACGCAAGGTCGAGAAACATTTCATCACTCAACGCCTTCACCACAAAAGAGGTCAGTTTTTGTTTGAGGAAGGGCCTCAAGAAAAAGGCCACCGCATTCAGTCCAAACACAGAACATTTGGTTTGCAAGGAGCCAATAGAAAAATGAATGTTGCCGCATTTGGCGATCAGACGCCCCGTCAAATGTAACTTCAATTCCAATTTTGCCTTCACTTTTAGGTTCTTAGCCTTCGCCTTCACTGTTCCTTTCGTGGCATCGCCTCGGCCCTCTTCCCTCGCTAGTGAAAACGAGACCGGACTCAACGCCAAATGCTTCAACTTCACACGAAAGAAGATGTGCTCACCATCCTCACTAAAGCGGGCGTAGGATCGCCCTAAAACGATCCTTCGAATTCTCACTTCCTCCGTATTAAGTATCCCTCCGCTAAATGACTTCAAACGGATGTTGTGAAGGGGGGAAACAATCTCTTTTCCCTCAAATTCTTTTGCAACCACGCTAAGAAACTTCGGGAAATACTCTGGGAGTGCGCTGGTAAAGGTTTTGCAGTGCTCCGCAATCTCCTTGCAGAAGTCGGTTTCCTCCGTGTTGGCAAATGCGGCGGCCCCATTTCTTTCCAACTCCTCAAGTCTTTCCCTCAGCTCGCACTCACGCTGTGTGCAGAATTGTAGCGGAGTCAGCAAGACAGGCTCGACGTGTCCCACGGTATTCATCGCCCTATCGGCCATCTTTTTTCCCTTCTTCGTGCCCAACCCACCTTCATCTTGCGCATTCGTTTCCCCTCTCCCCTCCTCGCAGTTTAATATGCACGCCAAAGGAGAAGGCGCCTCACAAGACGAAATACATTTACTTTCATCCAACTTCATTTTCAGGGAGGCGGCAGTTGGAGCCCAACGGACGATTGGTGCCTGAATCGCATCATCACTGCCTCCGAAATCCTTCTGCAAAGGTGTCTTCTCAGCCGGTGTCGGCAGGACGAGGGGTTGTGCACCCACAACATCCGTCAGTGTGGCGGATGTAATGAAATGTTCGTCCCATTTGGCGGTATCGATTGGGAACACCGCGACTGTGGCGTTGTACTCTTGTTGCTGATCGACCTCCAAGATATTCATCTCACCATCAAAGAGAGATGATCTTGAGTGCAGAAGAGATCCCACGGATACAAATGGATCTTCCAAAGGGTCAACGATTTCATTGCTATCCGAATCAACAGCTATGACACCGGAATCAGCGTTTCTTGGTGTTCTCTTCGTCGTAACCTCTGTGGAAGTCGCGGAATTCCGCATCGGGTTTATTAAGTAGGACGCGCTGTAAAGGTCGGGATTCACCGTGGCGTTCACGTTAAAAATTGTCTCCTCGACGCTTTTTGTTGCCTTTACACATTCCCAGAGGCATTTGCTGGATACGTATGGGAAGAGTGCGCTCATGAGACGAGCCTCCTCCGCCATCGACAGCTCATTCGAGGCCTTCATTGCTGAAGGCTCCATTTTTATCTTGTGGACAGGGGGAATTCCTGCTGGATGCAAAGTGAGGCACGCAAAGAGGACACACACGAAAAGTAAAAGTGAGAGAGGTGCACGCACAGAAACGCATGGGTCGGCACATGAACAACGACAGAAAGGGAAAAAGAGAGAAAGATATTCCAGTGTTGAAAGAGAAAATAATAATAATGAACCAAAAAAAACAACCAAAAACCCCACCAAAACACAAATCCAATGCGTAAGCAATAAGAACAACAAAAAAATAACTGTGAAGAAACTCAACGTTGAATTGAAAGCAGCAAAAAAAAAAAAAAAAAATTCAGTTAGACACACGTATATATATATATATATATATATATATATACTTGTATGTGTATACCTGTTTGTATGCATATAAGTTTGTGTGCCGCGGCTCTTCACACGTATCGCCTCATTCGGGCAGCCACCGACTCAAAATTGCACTCCCAGCAAAAGAAATGCTGCTGCTCTCGGCGGAGCACATCATCCAGCACATCCGAAACGCAGTTGTTTGCTCCGTTGATAACACCGGCGGCGGACTCCTCCTCAACCAACTCGCGGAGATTAAGGGCCAAGAGACACTCGGGTGCAGGACGTGACCGCCTGAACACCGGAAATTGATGTGATACCAGCCGCACAAGCCGCGCAACTGCGCCTAGGGCAGTTGTCAACTCCTTTGCGTGGCCCGTCCTAGCCACAGCCCCTGAATTGCGCATAAAACAGGCAAGCAGCAACAAAGACCACAGGAGGGTATTTCGTCTATTGGTAATAATCACAGCGTCCCCTTCTTCTTGCACCTGGTGGCAAATCCCAGCATTGAAGAGGTTTTTAACGTGGAAGGAGTCCCCATGACGGAATCCGTCAATCCATTCCTCTAGCGCGGAGCTCAATGAGGCGATGCATGTGAGCGATCCCCATATAATATCATGTAGCACAAGCAAAGGCATTTTAGGGCCTCCGTGCATTTGAAACTCCTCCGTGACATTTTCAAGAAACATGATTAATTCGACTGCATACATACCACAGTGACCGAATATTGTCCAAGTCTCAGTTGAAAAAAGTAAATCACCTGACTTCATCGTAGACCCCTCATAAAAAAAAGGATCCTTTACAACTCGATACAGCTCCGCTATTAACAGAGGAACGACATGCTTAAATCCCTCATTTTTAATAAATATCGGTTCACTTTCTCCTCTTGAATAAGGACTTTCGAATTTCAAATAAAGGTAAAAGGCGCGAAGGAGCCGCTGACGCAAAAAGGAACCCCCCAAAGCCTTATCCTGTAAAACAACATGAATGGCACTCTGAAGAATCCCTTTATGCATCTTTCGCAGCTCATTCATCCTCATCTTCGAGAGGGACGGGTCCCGCCCATTTGCATCCTTAATCTTTATGCCAAATCGAAAAGCTCCCATCCAAAGGGCAAATCCCACCACGAGGTCTGCACTCGGTTGCTTCATGTGAAGTGAACGCGTATCCCCTTCGCAATTAGATTTATTTTCTGAGCGCCAAACGTTTCCCAAAAAGGATTCAGGTACGTTCCACGCATTGGAAGAACGACTCTGCAAGGAACAACGCTCAGCAACGTCTGTTGCTTTCAGTGTAAAAAATTTGTGCCCGTCCCAATCATCGTTACACAAAGCAATTGGTGGGATGCAATCAATACAACCTTGAAGCACAGTGTTAATGAGAAGCATAATAGCATTGGAATCGGGGATTTGTCCTGCAAGATATCGGCACCGCCTATCTTCCTTGCCACGCAACTTCACAGGAGATAGCACGGCCAAAAGATTCAGCAACATCTCGAATGTGTGCTGCGGCGTCACACCCTGTTCAAGGGCCTTCATGGAAGAAATGAGGAAATTTACCGCGTTAGAAAGCCGTACAGATGTTGCAAGCATAATCCATCGTTTATTGTTGCCACAAAAGGCAACCCACTTCTCCGAGCCGAGTATGCTAAGCGCCTTCGCAATGTGTTTGACTGTGTGTTGTGTGAAACATCTCTGATGACAAATCAAGCGAAGAATAATATCAATTCTTGCAACAAGTTCCACCGTCAGATGACACTCCCGCATTAAAAAACTTAGCGACTGAATATCCAAATCATCGATATTATGAGTCGTAGCCAAGTGAAAAGCACTCTGAAGTACGTGCCGAGTGATCGCCTCTGTGAGCGTTGAAGCCAGTTCTTGGCCTAGCAGGAATGCTCCTTTCAGCAGCAATGCCCTCACGGGCTCAGTGGCAAGAAGTATGCGAAATTCAACAGAAGGATCCTCAGTCCCCAAGTGACATTCTAACCCCTTCAGAGCATCACAAACAAGATGACATGTACGAAGAAGTCGTGGGCCTGCCTCTTTTTTCGCATGCACCACGTGAGCGAGAAGCAGACGATGACACAAAATAAGTAAAACCTCCGCAGTCAACCAATCCTCTCTTTTGCAGAAACGTCTACCCTCCATGCCGAGTACAATGTGCTGCAGCCCATCTAGAAAAGGCTCTAGACGAGGTCTTTGCCGAAACTGCAGGACATCCGCTGAATTGCCTTTCTTTTCCTGCGGTTCCTCATCCTCTGGGTATAAATCGCTCGTCACGAGTAGACGAATGACATCCAACGTCAATGAAGACTTCTCAAGAACTACACAAAGAGCATCTGCAAGAAAATAAAGTCCATTTCGCACATCAGGCGGAAGTCCGCTAATATTATAGTGGTTCACATGTCTGAGTAACACCACAATTTCAGCGTTCGAAAGCACACCGGGGCGAAGTGCCGCAGCACAAAACCGATACAAAAAATGACACAACAACTGCCGCTGGAGTTCAGCCATCTCTTTCTTTTTCAAAAGAAGATATTCTGATCCGTGACTCTCCCCACCCACGTCTTCCATAAGGCACAAGAGCGAAGTCAAGTGATGGCAGTGCAAGTGATCTGTGAAGGAAGCTAACAGTTTTTCTGTACATATGAACCGACATCCGTAAAGATTCCGTCGATGAATAAGAACGAAGTGTTGCATGACCAAAAAAGTGTCCTCCGCAACATTCCCCACTTTCTCCACATCCGATTCCGCATGTACCTCGTGCAGTCCATCGCTTCTTTCATGATGCCTGTGATGACATGGGGGAAAACATGCAGGGTCCGCTCGCAGCAACTCCTCTACCGAATCCAAAAACGCCTCCAAAATTTCGGTGGAGTGAAAGCGGTGAAGCGTTTGGAGAATGATGGCAAATGAAGAGACAAACAACAACGGATCCCTTGAAGAACATTTTACAGGGGTGACTGTGCAACGCTTTCCAAAGCAACAACGGAGATAATATTTCAACAAATGAGCCGTGAGCATCGTGTGACGCAAATGAAGTTCAGACAAGCCATGAAAAAGACGAGCCACATGATATCCACACGAAAAATTAGGAAGCGTAGTTAGCACGGAAAGCACAAGTGCGTGCGCATTCAACGGGGGCTCATGAAGGTCTCCCAGTGCAAATATGACGTCACTAGCCGTCCTGGCGTCGTAGAAAAAAAGCGATCGATACGCCTCTCGGACCAAAGACAATAGTGCCCTTGGAGACCGCGTCACGACACCGAGTACAACCATATTTTCCTCCTCACAAATTAATACTTCTTCCACAGGCAGAAAGAGACAAAAATAAACACCAAAAGGTACGTTCAAACAAACAACACAACAAAAACAGAAGTCACAGGCGCAAGAAGTTGTTTCCTCAGGAAGTGCACAAGCACAGGTACATACACACACGGAAGAAACAGTATAACAAAATAAATGGAATGCACGCATTGCCCGCGAGCAAACAAAAAGGGAAAGTAGAGAAAAAAGAAGGAAAGAGAAAGAAAAACGCACCAGCAACGTCCACCTCCAATCACCAACACCTTCAATAAATGTCCCATTTCTTATACGGGGATCATTGATAACTCAAAGCAATGCAAGGAAACAAATAGCACACACAGAGACAAAAAAAAAAAAAAGATTATGTTTCTGGATAGCAAAGAGTAGCAAAACGTTATTATTAATGTTCTTTGCTTCATTTTAGTCCAAGTGCAATTTATGACCGTTGTCCCCATCCGTACCACCCAATTCAAACTGCAGCAACAGACACCATAACCAGCAGTACAAGCGGTAGCAGTAGTAACTGCGGCGCACGCACTCACCAAGGGAGCTCACCGCCGTCTGATGCGCAAGGCAAGGTGTCACCATTCCCACTTCTTGTCCCTTGATTCGACAAGCTGCATCTAAAGCAACAACGGCAATAGTAATTTTGACAGTTTCCTCGCCCTCACAAAAACGGTGCCTGCCCGTTCACGTCACCAATTTCAAAAACTCCACACCGAGGGCCGGGGGTGACGTTGACTGAAAATGATTCCTCGCCGACGTACAGCCCGCTTTTGCCGGGCGTTCAAAGCTCTCACGCATGCACATGCGGAACAAGACGTGAGTGCCAACGTGCCAAATAGCACTGGCTGCACAGGCTTTATCAGTTCCCTTGTGGTGTCGCTTAGGTAAGTAAGTGAGTAAGATCGTCTGCATGGAAAAGGCAGGAAGCAAGAAACGGAGAAAAAGTCGGCGTGCAAGAAGCATACAGCCAGCACGGCTCGACTGCATGCACCCGCAGGCAGAGAGTGACGGGAAAGTTCGGAATTTAATGGGTGTCAGCAGAAGAAATCACTACCCTTTTTTTACCTTTAAGAATCTTCAAGCTGTACTTATCTGAATCTGGATGAAAGCAAAAAAAAAAAAAAAAAAAACATGACACCATAATAAATCTGTTTTCCTTATTTTAGCTCCTGTAGGCACCGTAGTCCGTATTCCCGAACTGGCAGGTCGGTTGTCCTTTTTAAAACATGCTGGATGAGGTCCGCGTCTTTTTCACGGAAGGCATCATCAATAGCCAGTCGCGGCTGCTGCAAGTGCATGAGCCAGTCTACTCGTCTAGTGACATCATCTAATTTTGGTATGAGAAGCAATGCGCTTTCCACCCGCGAGTGGAGAACGAACTGCTCGACAAATGACTGGTAACCGATAGACGGCCTGGAGGTGACGCGGCCACCCAACACCCCGCCGAGTTTCTCCGCCTCTGCCCATCTCCCAGTGTCACAAAGGGCACATAACTTTGTATAGGTATACTTCTTCTCGCTGACACGGTACTTGGCTCGCAATTCTTTCGCTTTCCCTTCGTCGTCGTGTGTGAGACAGAGATAGAGGGTGTGCCCAACGCTACTTCGAAGGAAGCGTGGGTCAGTGTGCTCCGCCGCAAGACGTTTTTGAAGTTCTATGAGCTCAAAGTGCATAGAGAGCCACCGCCATTCCCCGTCGCTCGTCTCGGCAAAGATGGGTGGAAACACCGTCGAAGAGATCTTCGTGGCGGTGGAGGAGCCAACCTCTCCAAAACTTCCACTGACAGTGCGTTCCACCTTTCGACACTCCCCGAGTGCAGCCAAGGCGTCATCTAGGGACGGTGATGCTAATGCACGAAGTATGGACTCGAGTTGTGTATCAACCGCTGTGAAAGTACGGTTATCACTTCTCCCATCGGGAGGCATATAAAATTGATCCGCGATCGTCTGAGACGCATTTTCGTTTAGCAGCGCCTGCGACCGCCCTGACGACTCTTGTTTGGCTTTACCCTTGCCTCCTTCAAGCGCACGTGCAATGCAGCTACGTGCACAGTAAAGTGCGATATTGAAGTCAAATTGCTTCCTACATATTCCATTGATAAGCGTTCGCCATGCCGGCAACAGCCGCGCCCCAAGCAGCATCCATGCCAAAACCGTTGGATGACCCAATAGCACGTTGAAGAGCTTAGAATGATCCTCCACCGATGATATAGCATAGACAAGTGCTAGATGAATAAGATCGGCGTCGTCGCCAAGATCCGCCCAATGTAACGCAAGTTCCCACTGGCCAAGTAACAAAAACATCATAACTTTTCTGTGCACACTAACGTCCTCCTTAAGAAGTGCAAAGGCCAGTGCGCTGCGACCACTACGGAATGCAACTACGGAGCTTTCCACGTAGCTGGAACCGGGATAACGCTGGAGAACATCCCGGATGTGCGCGTAAACGGTGTCGTCATCCAGTGAAGAATCACGTACTTTATGGCACGACCACTGTGAAAGCAACCGCAATGGCTTCGTGTTGAGCGCACCTGCAATATCGAATGCCAATTGGAAGCAACATCGATTAGCCAGACGATCTACCAGCACCTGAGCCTCAGAGGGAGCAAGTGAGCGCATCTGCTCCAGCCCAGAGAGCGTGCAGTATTGACGAAATGAGAGCGGTATTCGGCAGCCAGGATAGTTTCGCACAGTGTGGAGCACACGAAGACGCCGCACAATGTCTACAAAAGTGTCCGAGTCATACAGCCGATGCACCTCATTCGAGAAGGAAGCTGCGGCCAACAGTAGATGCTGCTGGTCCGGGGAAAACTCATGCTCTGCGGCATCTATAATCTCGTCAATACTGCCAGCGAAGCTCCCACCGCCCCACGTTGACAGCAACCGACACACTGTGGGCAGGCAATTCTTTCCGTCAGCGTAAGCAGCGACCAGTTGGGCAGAGAGAGATAATGGTTTGACTCGGCACAAACTAACAAGGCTCTTCGGTACCTGTTCGAGAAAGTAACAGGATTTCTCGGTGATGACTCGAATACCATCAATTTCCGATACGGTGACGACATGGCCACTGCCTTCGCGCTCCCAATCAAACCTTTCGTACTTGACCGATGCCTCCGGTAGGGTTGGAATAATAAGAGAAAACATTGGCGCAACAGTGGGGGATGAGTAGTACTCGTGAAAGACAGCATCATTAAAGTGAAGAACGATAAATGACGACCCACACCACTCCATTTTTTTCGGCCTTCGACTACGTGAGCCCAACTTAATAGAGAATTCCACAGATTTCAGGTTGCTCGACAATATGTGCAATTCCGCTCGGTCAGTAAATAGTGCGACTTGCAAGCCAGAGTGGTTTACTTTCATTGCCAAAACTCTGCCAGGAATTTGCTTCTGCACCTTTTCCTTCAAGCCATGGCTGGAGGTAAAGACATGTAACGTGCTATCCCCCTTCTGAAGCCGCGACCTGCTTGTCAGGTAAAACACTGTATCACCCTCATCATTCCATTCTGCTGGAATAAAGTCAAGGGTGGTGGGGAGAAGTCCAGCCTCAAACTGCACGGGATCCTGCACCTTTGGGCTCTGACGCTCCACGTGCATCAGGCCCCGCATCCACCTGTTTTCATCGATGCAGAACAATCCCTCGGGATGCATACAAGTAAGAAATGTTGGAGTAAGATAAATACCCGCGGGATGAGAAGATGGGGATGTAGCATGATCTCGCAGCCGGATTATGCACGAGGATGAAGAGCCGTCTGAATTCAAAGAGGAACTTCCCAAGTGAATAGCTCCAAAGAAAACGCAGGCTTGTTGATCCGTTAGTATGACAAGAACCTCCTCCTTCGTCCATCCCATGTCGATAGGTAAACCCGCTTCCCCCGGAAGAGACAGACTCGCCTGAAACTCACCAGCGCTCGTGTACACATGCACCCGGCAGGCCACCAATTCCTCATTATCATCAGCGTTGGTTGGGGGCGGTACGGCATGAATGACAGCGACGGATCCCCCAAATGGAGCTGCACACACAAAAGCACACGTGGCCAGGGAAAAGGGCGACATTTTCTCCACAGGTGGCTCCTCATGCGCATCCCAAAACATGCGATCATACAATATTAGTTTCCTGCAGTACAACTCAGAAGAAAAAGGGAACCATTCGCCCAGTCGTTTCACCATCACATTGCGCCTCCCCACACACTGGAGGAGAGGCACCCTTTTCTATCCTGTCACACACAAAAAAAAATATCCGTGAATGTTCAAAAAATATGGTACGCAAATGCACAGAAGAAACAGGATTTACGGCGAACAGATCAAATAACAACGTTCCTTACAAAAAAAAATAAAAGCGTGCATTTAAAAGATATGCGCACACTTTGAGGCTCCAATCTTTTAAAAAAGGAGTGAAGAAGTCGTCACAGCGCCCCAAACTATTTGCATGGGAAATTATTATACGCGTCCAAGGCAGATAAACACAACCGCAGCTCCAGTGTACTCCACTTCTGCGGACCCACGCATGGCACCTTCTTTGCCAGCCGGGGCCCGGCAAGCCGCAAAACATCCGCCAGCGTCATGCCCTTTACAGCCAAGAAATGAATATAATCATGGCGTGGGTACACCAGCCTTGTGTAGAAGTCTGAGAATAAATGCAGCTTCTTGTCGTCGTCACCTGCCGACAGGAGCAACGACCGTGGTGGCGTTTCGCACAACCACACGTAACAATCCTCCAGCCACCGGTAAAAAATATCAACAAGAAACGCCAGAATGTCCTCCTCACGCCGAAGCGAGCCTAAAGTCAGCGTGTTCCAATACCGCCCGGGCACAACCGTGAAAACACGTCGCGGTTCAAATGAGGATCCATTCCCGTTGATGGCAAATCCAGCCTCCCTGAGTGCGCGAAACACGGCTGCGGTGTGGTGCATCAACTGCTCAAAGTTTTTTGATGCAACAATCACATTGCTAAAGAAAACATAAGTCTTTACTCCAGCCCTCGTCAGCTGACGGTTCACCGTCTGCAGTAATGCATAAACATCGTCCCGTACACTTCTTTGCCCCGGAGGGCCCTTTACAAACCGATAGCCACGCAACTCCTCCACGGCAACTCGCGCTCCGTTTCCGCAAGCATTCGCTGCTGGTGGGAGCAGAAAAGCGCTGAGCCGCTGCGCCTGGTCGGAGAGCGGAATCATGCGCCACGGAGCACGAATGTCAATGGATGTAACAAGAAGGGTGTCGTCCCTCACACAACAGCCAAACCGCGCCAAATCATCCATTTGTGCGGCCACCGGCGGAAAACACACGCTGGCGACGAGACCACGGTGAAGCGCGGACCAATCCATCACAATGCCGTCCTCATACCACTCGTGCTCCCACGCCATACAGTACACACCGTCGGTTCCGTCAAGCCCTTGCAGTGCCTCGATGTACCTTTCCTCCAATGCATGTGTGACCCAACTGTGCATGAATTCCCTTCGGAAACACCCGTACGATGCAACGGTGGCTAACTAAAAAAAGACAAAAACACAAGAACAAACATTAATTAAGAGAATTATGCCTCACGCAACAGCAGCAGCCATCCTACAACCATCTCCCCACACACCAAAAGAACGCCAAGTAAACAAACAACACAACAAAAACAGAAGTCACAGGCGCAAGAAGTTGTTTCCTCAGGAAGCGCACAAGCACAGGTACATACACACACGGAAGAAACAGTAAAACAAAATAAATGGAATGCACGCATTGCCCGCGAGCAAACAAAAAGGGAAAGTAGAGAAAAAAAAAGAAGGAAAGAGAAAGAAAACCGCACCCCAATTGTACACATGTCAACATCATAGCCCAACTGATGTCCCATTTCTTATACGGGGATCATTGATAACTCAAAGCAATGCAAGGAAACAAATAGCACACACAGAGACAAAAAAAGATTATGTTTCTGGATAGCAAAGAGTAGCAAAACGTTATTATTAATGTTCTTTGCTTCATTTTAGTCCAAATGCAATTTATGACCGTTGTCCCCATCCGTACCACCCAATTCAAACTGCAGCAAAAGACACCATAACCAGCAGTACAAGCGGCAGCAGTAGTAACTGCGGCGCACGCACTCACCAAGGGAGCTCACCGCCGTCTGATGCGCAAGGCAAGGTGTCACCATTCCCACTTCTTGTCCCTTGATTCGACAAGCTGCATCTAAAGCAACAACGGCAATAGTAATTTTGACAGTTTCCTCGCCCTCACAAAAACGGTGCCTGCCCGTTCACGTCACCAATTTCAAAAACTCCACACCGAGGGCCGGGGGTGACGTTGACTGAAAATGATTCCTCGCCGACGTACAGCCCGCTTTTGCCGGGCGTTCAAAGCTCTCACGCATGCACATGAGAAACAAGACGTGAGTGCCAACGTGCCAAATAGCACTGGCTGCACAGCGTTCATTCTTGCATTGGTGGTGTCGCCTAACTGAGTGAGTGGGCAAGCTGGGTTGTATGGAGATGGCAAGTTGAAAGAAAAAAGACAAGTTGAAATTATTAAAAAGAATAAAGTGCGTAATAGAATATGCAAGGCTATTGTTTGGGGGAAAAAAAAGGGAGAGAGGCAATTAGTCCATTCAAAGCAATAACTTCTTTTCATTTCGTTCTCTGGACATGATTGATCTAATCTATTGTAGGAAGATGGGGTTGAGAGAATCGCACTCAGCGCTCCAGAGAGAACCTCTTGTGCTTCATTCCATGTACCACGGAGTAAACTTCTAACAACATCAGCAGCGACAGAGCATTAGGCGTCAGTGTTACTTTTTTTCGTTTCGTGCTTGCATAAGCTTCTCTGCAGATCGCAACCTCTGCTCCCACTCCATAAGATACTTTTCCTTGCGCGATATCTCTTCTAGTCGTTCCTTGTATGCAGCGTGTTGCATTTGGACAAGGGTATTAAACTCCTCCTCTCGTTCAGTGAGTTCACGTTCCTTCCTTAAGGCCTCCTGGCGCCATGTCAGCTCGTCATCGACACAATGAAGGCAACCTTTTTGTATATCATTGAGCACGCGCTTGTTGGCATTCAATACAGAGCAGTGGTCAGGAGAATTCTCTTGAAGCAAACTAGGAACATGATATTCGTGTGGCAAGGGAGACGACATAGACATGATACCAGCAGCAGGGGGTGAACTTTGTGAAGATGTGGTAGATGCCAGTGGTGGTGGTGGTGGTGGTGGTGGAGCCTCTCGCCGAGGAAGCGGTGTTCGAGTCCCTTTTAATTTGTGCTGGTGGTATTGGTGGGAACGTGAGAGAGACGACTGCTGCTGCGTCTCCCAGTTGACATGACGCAACATGGCCCGCCCAGAGTAGAGAACTTTATCAAAATGACAGATGGGAGCACCACTTCTTTCTCCGGAGGCGTGTGCGTTTCTAATTTTAAGAAGTAACTCTGCCGTAAAGCCACAAAAAAAATAATAATGATAAATAATAATAAAACAAGGCAAAAAGAGAAGAAAATGAATGTAAATAAACGCAAACCCATGGCGACTGCGGGGCATATTCACACAGAGGATCAATGCCCCCTCCCGCCAATGGCGTTTTTTTATTACTATCAGCAAAGGAAAAACAGCGGCAGAAGCGAACAAGCAGAGCGGAAATAGTGCGCGCAGCGGATAAACCACAGTCCCCCTTCTGCAGCAAAACTTATTTCACTGCATCGCGACGACGCCAAAATCAAATCAAAAGTTTGCTTTTACTTCACACGTCGTAGCACCAGCGTTGCACATGGGACATCTATTCGTCCGTAGCCCCATGATGCGTTGCGAGCCTTTTTTCGTCCACGTGCCTCGTCAGCTGTGATGCCAACGGACGGGTGTTTCAAGAGACTCGCCACTCCAACTCCCGTTGATGCGCCTCTTTTATCACCGACCGAACGCGGTTCATTAAAAGCACCGCTACCGCTACCACTTGCATCGTGGACACTACCGTGAATTCCCTTCTCTGTTTGTTCATCGCCCCTCTCGCAGAGTTGCACCACCACACGATTACTCGACGGCGCGTCAAAGAGGCTCTTTTCATGAGAGTCGACCCATGACCCCTCAAACTCCATTTCACCGTACTCTTTTGTACGAAGCACGACGACTGGGTGAGCTGTTTCCAGCGTGCCGCTTTTGAAGGTGAGCCCGTCTGCCCTGAACCGCGACGGGTGCCGCTCATCCCCCTCATGAGTGGCCTCCGCACGGCCATTGGCGGCGGCCTCCTCGCATATATGCGCATCCCTAAAGAAGTCCAGGCACGGTAGGCGGACAAGGACAGTCTGTGTCTCCTCCACCGTTAGAATCTCCTCCTCCAACAGCGTCTCGTCATCCGCACCATCCGTCTGTGCCCGGCGCCTCTGCGCGTCTTCATCGTTTACCGTGAACTGTCTTTCTCGCTTCATTGTAGAGAGACCACCGCACCTCCACCACCTATGCCTGTTTTTTTTTTTTTTTGTTTGTCGTTGTTGAAACCAAAATAAATAATAATAATAATAATAATAATAATAATAATAATAATAATAATAATAATAATAATAATAATAATAAATGGCAGAAAAGTCTTAACAAACACAAAAGCACAACAGACAACCGAAAGGAAGGGAGAATGTAAGAAAAAAAGAGCGTTCCTCCCTCAAAAACATTAATCAGTCAATAGGCACACAAAAGGAGACTCTGATCCCCGCCGCAGTCGCTCTCAGTCACGCGTGTGTGCGTCAATTTCCTCAGCTTCTCCAAGGCCAAAAACGGTGACACAGTTGTTAAACAGTTGCCACACAACTTCCTCCTCTGTAATGCCCCGCAACGCTTCGTCTGCCATCTCCTCTCCAAAGCGACGTAACGCGCCCGTGTATGCCTCTAAAACCTGTCGCAGGTGGCAGGGCTCGTTGCGACGTTCATTACACAACGTAGACACAAACGGACCTCCTTTGCAATTCGTCTCAAAAAAAGTTCGCACAAACTGCGCCCCGTAATGCTGTTTGCGAATGTCGCACCAGGGCGCATCGGTTTCTAGCATGACCCGATCAAGGGGAAGAGAACAGATCTGCTCCGCAGTGCTCTTCTCCCTAAACGCACTCCCATTAATACTAAAATAGATGCCACTCATCGCCAAGAGTCGTTGCTGTTCTTCAGGGGGTCCTCTGAAACTATGCACCACACCCACGAAGGGAAAATCGCTTGGCCATTCTCGTCGTTCCTCCTCAATGAGGTGCACAAAGTCCGTACCACAGTCGCGTGAATGAAAGAGAAATGGCAGGCGCAACGATCGAAAAGCACGAAGCTGTCGAATAAAATATTTTTGTTGGATTTCTCGCGGGCAGTAGGGAAGTTCGGCGTAGTCAAGACCAATTTCCCCCACGGCCACAACAACATCACGGTTCTCTTCAATCAACTCCACCAGTTTTTTCAACCTATCCTCGGTGTACTGGCAATTCGCCGTGGTATCGACTACGGAAGAAGGAGGCTGGGGCACCTGAATCGAAACATCGTCATCTGCGGCCTCCTCAATCCTCGCCCAGTCCATTGGCAACATCATCTCAGCGCAGTGAGCGGGGTGAATCCCAACGGTGCAGAGCAGCTGCGACGGGTAACGACGGCAAAGGCGTATCGCTTTCACGCACTGCGCAAGGTTTGTGCCGGTAACAATCATCTTTTTTACGTTCTGCTCCCCTGCTCGCCGAAGAACATCATCAAAATTGTCCGCGTGGACCCGCCGCCCTTTCCAGTCAACACCGCGAAAGACACAGTCTGTGAGGTTCAACGCAACATCGACAAGATACGGTCCCCCAGAAGTTTTCTTCATTTCGTGCTCGACTGGCTGCATGCCTGCATTCAGGCAACAACTATATATATATATATAGAGAGAGAGAGAGAAAAAGAGAGAGGGAGAAAAAAAAGCTTAGAAAGGAATCGTCAATGTAAATAGATAGTAACAAAATATTTAAGAACAATAAGGGCTGCTGTGAAATCAACTCATGTACATTCTCGTTTTTCTCACCCTTTTGGTTTATCGCCCACTGTTTCTTCCTATCTCTCCATTTCACAGGCATCCATTCACATTACCCCACTTCTTCTTCCCTTCCTCCTCTACTGATCTTTCTCACTTGAGAAGGTCAGCGAGTTTGCCTACCTCCACCGTGTCATCTTGAAGAGAGTGCATCCCTGGCTTGGACGGTCCTTTCATTTTTTTGGCCGTCGCGTCGGCCTCACGTCTGACGCGTCGCTCCTCCCGCCTGGCTTGTTTTTCATCCTCCCGCCGCTTTTGCTCGGCCTTTACTCGCCTTTTTCGTGGGCTTGTGCGGAAGAGACCCCCCCTCTTGTTCAGTTCTGCTAATGAGCGATCCAGTGCACCAAGGAAGGACGGTGGCTGGGACCAGCCAACCGTGGGAACATCATCTGGTCCGCGCTGCTGAAACGCCACGCGCTCGTTCCATAACGCCATCATGGTGTCACGTGAATCCTTGTCAAGCTCATTTTGTCGAGCCTGCAAGATGAAGCGCACCACAAAGGATGGACAATCACCATAATCATCCAGAAGATCCTTCTGCACAATAAAATTGAAATCCACCGGTTTCTTTACACTGAGGAGATGCATTATAACCTCCAATACACGTCGTGCACTATTAACCAGTTTTCCATTGCCCTCCTTCACACGTTCATCCCACATATCCATGGCGAGTACGGTATCACGACTAAAGCAGTCAACAAACGCATTCCAGTCCTCGACAGATCGATTGTTTTGGTGGCGTATAACTTCTCCAAGGAACTCCATTAGTGTTGTAAGGTATTTTTGGACATATCGCGTCAACATACTTCGCATAGCCAAGCGCATCCGTGTCTCTTCAAGCGCCTTAGTAAATTCCTCATCAATAAAGTCACTCATCGTATCTATAATAACCTGTGTCGGGTTATCATCTACACTATACCAATCTTTGGAACGAAACAGGAGAGCCCACTGCGCATCCACTACACGCTCAACGTGCAGCACAATCTCGTCCAGATAGAATAAGGCGTGCTCTGATATCAGGTCTTGAGTTTGTTGAAACGGCGATGAATACTCACCACCCTCCTCGTCGTCCCAATAGGAGGCAAACTTAATCTCAATAGTATCCATATTACGTTCAATTGTTGAGCAGTCATTACAAAAGGCGTAGAGAAATAACAATCGACGTGTAGTCCATTCTTCAACCGAGATTCGCATTGATTCATTTTCCTCTTCCCAAAAATCATAATCACTGCGAATTTTGCATTCTTCAAGGTAAGCTCCAATCGCCTCTGCGCAGGCAACACCTATCTGACGCATTACAGATACCTCAATGGCTGTAGAAAGGCCTCCCAAAGATTGTTGCAGAACCGCAAACATGTCCGCTGGACCAGTTGTCACAGGTAATCCATTTTTCATTGTTGTTGGTTCACTTCGTCCAGTTCCCACTGATATGGCACAGGCACGACAGAGTCGAATAAGATGTGCCGAAAGACCTCCAACAGCAGATGTCATCATTAATGCAGAAAGGCTATCGATGGCGTTAAGATCAATGTAAATGGCGTAATTTGCTTCTGTCATCGACTCCTTATACCACTGTACAAACTGTGAAGCCTCAAGAAGACCAGTTGCTTCCACCTCCGCGGCAGGATCCACGTACCCCTGCAAAACGTTCATCACTTCATCGTGAATGGAACCCACAACGAGGGCAAAGAAAGAAAACTTCGTCGAGAGGGGAATAAGTGTCAGTTCCAGCGCACCCAGCAATGGTGCCACTTTTTTCATTTGTTCGAGATAAGTGGAGATCTGTGCAATGGGATCCACCACATCCACCATCACTTGTTCCTCCCACAGTCGAGCCACGCACTTGCGTACAGCAAGGTACACTTTCTCCTCAGTGATGAGCGGTTCACCGTCAGCCGTACACAAAACGCCACTACCAGTCCCATCTTCTCCTCCTCCAACCTCTTCCCCACAGAGTTGCACACACTCCTCCAGTTGCTTGAATTCTGGAAAAACCTCCGCAACGGTACCGGCATCCGGCAAATCTTCAAGTGCCATTTGAATCGCAACATGCATCGAGCTTTCCTCCAACAGTTTGTATACCTCCGATACAAACATTGTTTGTACTGCATCCAGCTTTTCAAAGTAAGGCTCAAACGCATTGCGGTATTTGCTATCCGCCTTTTCAGAGACTGTGCGTCGAATCAGTTGCAAACGACGCAGACGTTTATGTACCTCCGCAAACTGTCTTTGCTCTACAAGCTTGTACAGATTTGTGTATCGCACCTCTTTTAGTGCCTCTGCCCATTTTATAACAGACAAGATGTTTTCGCGTAAGAAATGCAACTGTCGTAGTTGCTTGTAGCTCCCTGACGTCACCTCCATGCCCGTGATGAGGGCACCTTGTTCCATAAAAAGCTCTCGCAGATCTTGAATGCGTTCACCACACTCCTTTACAATTTGCACCGCGCGATGCCCCTCCAGCATTTGAGACGAGGCCATGGAATTGATGGCTCGACGAAGCTCCTTCGCCTCA